GCGTCGGGTCAGGTGTTTGCTGCTGCGTCCAGGTCTGGTCCTGAGTCTGCCCCCTGTACTTGTCGCCTCCTGTCTCACGAGACTCTCCTGTGGCACCACCGTCTTGGCCACCCCTCCTTGCCCCGTCTTCGGAGCATGGCTTCCCGTGTCCTTGTCTCTGGTCTTCCCCAGTCTCTCCCTCCTCTCCCCTCCGGGCCAGGACCTTCCTGTGTCCCCTGTGTCGAGGGTCGCCTCCGGGCTACTCCTCACTCCTCCCACTTCCCCCCGACAGAGGCTCCCCTGCAGACGCTTCACATGGATGTGTGGGGCCCAGCCCCCGTCCGTGGGCAGGGTTACGAGCGCTACTTCCTGTTGGTGGTTGACGACTACTCGCGTTACACCACAGTCCTCCCCTTGCGCAGCAAGGGTGAGGTCACTGAGGTGCTGATCGACTGGATCCGCGAGGCTCGTCTCCGGCTCAGGAAGAGCTTCGGCTCGGACTTTCCTGTTCTGCGTCTGCACTCGGACAGAGGCGGAGAGTTCTCCTCTGGCCTTCTGCGTGCCTACTGTCGTGCGCGAGGCATCCGCCAGTCCTTCACGCTTCCGGACTCACCACAGCAAAATGGGATTGCTGAGCGCCGCATTGGCATGGTCATGGATGTCGCTCGTACGTCCATGATGCATGCGGCTGCCCCCCATTTTCTGTGGCCGTTTGCGGTGAGGTACGCGGCGCATCAGCTCAACCTTCACCCCCGGGTCTCTCGGCCTGCGATGTCCCCAGCCTTGCTGTGGACGGGGAAGGTTGGCGATGCGTCTGTGTTCCGTGTCTGGGGATCTCGGGCGTTTGTCCGCGACTTGTCTGCGGACAAGCTGTCCCCTCGTGCTGCTCCCTGTGTCTTCCTTGGCTTCCCCACTGACGCCCCAGGGTGGCAGTTTTACCACCCCTCCTCTCGTCGTGTTCTGTCCTCCCAGGACGTCACGTTCGACGAGTCAGTCCCCTTCTACCGTCTCTTCCCCTACCGCACTCCTTCCCTCCCCCCTCCCCCGGACTTCCTTGTACCGGTTCCCCCCCCGGTAGACCCCCTCCCTCCTCAGGTTCCTGCCCCCTCAGGTGTGTCCCAGGTAGACGCCGTTGACCCGGTCGAGGTTACAGGTGACTCTGGTGCTGCTGCGGGTGCTGAGCCTGGGGGTGCTGACTCTGGGGGTGCTGTGCGCGGGGGTGCTGAGCCTGGGGGTGCTACTGCTGGGGGTACTGGGCCTGCGAGTGCTACTGCGGAGGGTGCGGAGCCTGGGGGTGCTGTGCCAGGGGGTGCTGTGCCTGGAGGTGATGGGTCTGGGGGTGCTGGGTCGGGAGCTGCTGAGCCTGGGGGTGCTGCGTCTGGAGCTGCTGAGCCTGGGGTTTCTCCTGCTGCTGCGTCTCGCCGGGAGCCCCTCTCTCCACAGGAGCTGCGCGGGTGGTTCGCTCGCCGCTGGAGGCGTGCTGCTGAGTCTGGAGGTGCTGCTGGAGCTGGAGCTGGAGCTTCTTCGACCGTCGAGGGTGCGGGTGCTGCCGGTCCCGGAGCTACTGGACCTGCGGGTCCTCCTGGAGCTGGAGCTGCTGAGGGCGTTGGTGCTGAGCCTACTGCTGTTGGTCCTGCCGCTGAAGGTGTGGGTGGCGCTGGTGCTGTAGCTGAGGGTGCTGGTGCTGTCCCTGCTGCGTCTGGAGCTGCTGAGCCTGGGGTTTCTCCTGCTGCTGCGTCTCGCCGGGAGCCCCTCTCTCCACAGGAGTTGCGCGAGTGGTACGCTCGCCGCTGCAGGCGTGCTGCTGAGTCTGGAGGTGCTGCTGGAGCTGGAGCTGGAGCTTCTTCGACCGTCGAGGGTGCGGGTGCTGCCGGTCCCGAAGCTGCTGGACCTGCGGGTCCTCCTGGAGGTGGAGGTGCTGAGGGCGTTGGTGCTGAGCCTACTGCTGTTGGTCCTGCCGCTGGAGGTGTGGGTGGCGCTGGTGCTTTCGCTGAGGGTGCTTGTGCTGTCCCTGCTGAGTCTGGAGCTGCCGCGCGGCCTCGGCCGTACTTCGTTCCGCTCCTATAGCAGGTTCTTGGTCTTTCTCCTTCGGTAGAGTGTCCACAGCCTGTCCAGTCGCAGTCACTGTTGGAGCCTTCCTCTCCTCTGCCTGCTCCCTCTCCTTACACTGGTCCTACTGGAGGTCTTGCTGAGCGTCGTGAGCCTGCGTCTCGTCCCGCGTCGCCTGTTCGTGCTGCTCGCGCTAGTGGTCGCGGTTCGCGTCAGCGTCCTCCTCCTGTCCCTGGCACGCACCGGATGTCTCTGCGTCCGTCCACTGCTCCTCTGCGTGCCCCTTTGCCTTCTCCTCCTGAGTCCTCTCTTCCTGCGCTTGCCGACCCTGAGTCGGACTCTCTTCGCGCTGCCAGTCCTACTGTCACGCGTCTGCTTGCTACTGTCGTCACTGACCCCTCTTTTGAGTCCACTGCTGCGTCTGCTCTAGTCGCTGAGCTCGTTGACTTTGCTGCTCGCTGTCGTCTCGACTACGCTGCTGGTCTTGTTGCTGAGTCTGCGTCTGTCTGTCCTCCGTCCGTCGGGGGTGAGTGTGCTCTTGGCACGGACGTCCTAGAGGACAGACAGGAGGAGTTACAGTGTCTAGCGGCTGCTTCACCTCATCTCGCGTCTGTACTGCTTGCCCCTGAGGGAGACCCGGATGCACTAGACATCCCGACTCCGCGTTCTTACGCGGAGGCCGTAGAGGGTCCCTACTCCTCTCAGTGGCAGGCAGCTATGGATGCAGAGATGGCTTCCTGGAAGTCCACAGGCACCTACGTTGACGCAGTTCCCCCTCCTGGGGCGAACATCGTCAGTGGCATGTGGATCTTCCGTGTGAAGCGGCCGCCGGGCTCTCCACCTGTCTTCAAGGCGCGGTACGTTGCTCGTGGCTTCAGTCAGCGGCAGGGAGTTGACTACTTTCAGACCTTCTCTCCCACCCCGAAGATGACCACTCTTCGGGTGCTGCTGCACATAGCCGCTCAGCGCGACTACGAGCTTCACTCTCTCGACTTCAGCACTGCGTTCCTGCAGGGTAGCCTGCACGAGGAGATCTGGCTGCGCCGTCCACCTGGCTTCACGGGGACTTTCCCTCCTGGCACCCAGTGGAGCCTCCGACGGCCAGTCTACGGTCTCCGCCAGGCACCGCGTGAGTGGCACGACACACTGAGGACTACACTTGCGGCTCTTGGGTTTGCTCCTTCTACTGCTGACCCGTCGCTGTTTCTGCGCACCGACACTTCACTGCCGCCGTTCTACATCCTCGTGTACGTCGACGACTTGGTCTTTGCCACAGCGGACACTGCTGGACTCGCCTACGTGAAGTTCGAACTGCTGAAGAGACACACGTGCACAGACCTGGGTGAACTGCGCAGCTACCTTGGCTTGCAGATCACTCGGGACAGAGCACGCCGCACCATTACCTTGACTCAGTCACACATGGTGCAGCAGGTCCTTCAGCGCTTCGGCTTCACGTACTCCTCGCCTCAGGCCACTCCTCTGCCTACTCGCCACTGACTCTCAGCTCTGCCTTCGGATGAGTCCGTAGAGTCGAGTGGTCCGTATGCAGAGCTTGTTGGCTGCCTCATGTACCTGATGACCTGCACACGACCTGACCTTGCATATCCTCTGAGCATTCTTGCACGCTATGTTGCTCCTGGGAGACACAGACCAGAGCACATGGGTGCAGCGAAGAGGGTATTGCGCTACCTGTGCAGTACGTCGGGCATGGGGCTTGTGCTTGGAGGGCGGAGTCCAGTGGTCCTTACCGGCCACGCGGACGCTTCTTGGGCTGACGACCAGGCTACGCAGCGGTCGTCACAGGGTTACACCTTCAGCCTTGGTTCCGGCTCTGTCTCGTGGCGGTCTACTCGCTCGTCTTCGGTTCTCGGCTCCAGTTGTGAGGCTGAGATCTACGCCGGGGCCATGGCTGCACAGGAGCTTCGCTGGCTCACCTACCTGCTGACTGACCTTGGAGAGCCGCCTCGTTCTCCTCCAGTGCTGTACGTAGACAACAAGGCCATGCTGGCCTTGTGTCGAGAGCAGCGCTTGGAGCACAGAACGAAGCACATTGCTCTCCGCTACTTCCTTGCTCGTGAGCTGCAGCAGCGTGGTCAGTTGCGACTTGCGTACGTGGCCTCTGAGGCCAACACTGCTGATGTGTTCACCAAGGCACTCGCGCCTTGTGATCATCAGCGCTTTTGCACCCAGCTGGGTCTTGTGTCTGTCTTGCCTCACTTGCTCTCCTCTTGACTTTACTTGTACTGTGACATATATATATACCTGCTCTTGCTTGTCTAGTTTTATATATATGTCTGTACTCCTGCATGTGAACTGGCCTCTGGCCCTGCTCTTGTGCTCGGACTGTGTGGTGACTTTGTGATCCACCCTGAGCTTTGCTTTGCTTTGCTTGACTGGTCTTGTGACCCCTTGTTCTCCCCCACTTTGCCTATGGGGGTGTGTCAAACATTATATATGTGATACTTGTGTAGGCTACAGTGGGTTAGCCTATAGGGGGTACACAATTCTAGGGTTTACTACTTGTACTCTTTTCACTTCTAGTTGATCCATTCCTGTTCGCTTATTCTCACACGCGCGACGAGCCTGGGACTGAGGTTGGGAACGTGTCGAAGCGTAGGCCCGGAGCGCGGGTTAGCAGCCGAGCCGTGAGGTCGGGATGCGATGTGCGAAAATGGCGGGATGATGAATGATGCGATGGTCGCGAGTGGTAACGGTGCTGACTGAGGTGCTACAGTGATGTACGCGTTGAGCAGAGATGCGAAGTAAGGAAAAGGGAATTTCCTTACACTAATCTAGATTAGCCATAACACGACAAGCGTGCGGTGCGGTATAATCAAGACACTCGCTTCGAACCTGTACGAGCTTGGACAATCCTTTTTCAGCATATCATCTCAAATATCTTGTAGCGAGCTTTGGATTCTCTAGTATCTTTTGCGTAACTTTTCCCGTCGCGTGTTGTCCCTAGGATAATCATGGCGGCTTCTGTTCCTTCCAACACGCCACGTCGGCTCGTGGTGACCGACGCGTCCGTGATTTTCGGACAAGTCGTCGCGGACTTCTGCAGGAGCGTCAACGCCGGTGTCGGCGAGCCGTTAGATTCCGCGATCCGGTTGACAGCCGTCGTGACAAACGCCAGGCACGCCGGTGCGTGAACGGGATAGTGTCTTTAGTTAGGGTTAGGGTTAGGGTTAGTGGCTTAGAGAGCCATGAGCTTTTCTGTAGCGTGTACTCGACGATCAAGTGACGCGCCACTCGAATTCGGACAAGCGATTTGTGAGAGTTTTGTCCTTTTCCGATGTGATCCCTGAGTCGACTAAAAAGGTAACTTACAGTCCACGCGAAATTCGGCGAACGACACGTGAAACGTAGACTCGTGCTTGATAGGCATGATGTGCTTCATGGGCTCTGATTGGCTAGACAGACGTGATAGGATGGGTAGGCTTGGCTCCTGCTATCCGCTTAGCGTCCGAATACCGCACAATACCGCACAATACCGCACAATACCTTCCAGGCTGCTTTAGACTACTCTTTGAACGCCTACCCGAACACATTCCGATTCCCTCCTTGAGTACCTTCTGATTCTCCACCCGAACACCTCTGGAAAACCTGCGGGGTACCGTTTGACCTTTCGAATTCCTGTCAACCCCCTTCTGAACGCATTTCGATTGCGCACAAAATCTGTGCCTTCTTGTCGTTTCGTTGTTCCTCAGGTTCCACGAAGCTTCCTGCCATCGCCTCCGGATCCCTTGAGTCCGTTCTTTCCATCGCGGAGCGCCCGGGCCATCATGATGCCACGTGTCTTGCTGAGCTGGCACGCGTGCTGCAGCCCAATGGAACGCTGCTGCTACAGGAGCCCGTGGCTGCCAGATCAGCAGCTGCTGTGGAGCTGGAGGTGGGTGGCTGTAGAGTTGATGAGGAATCTCATAATTAGTATATTGTGCTAACGACTCAGATTCACTGCGCCCATATGTTCTTATTCTCATCTTTATTTATCTCTTCCCCCCCCACCCCAACCCCCCCTCCTCCCTTCCCCCCCTCTCTTCTTCCTCACATTCTTATTTTTACAACCAATCAGCGTCTGCCTTCGTCACTCTCCGGATCGCCCCTGCCCAATCAAGCTGCGCTGGAAAGAACGCTCCTCCTATCAGGCTTCGCCACGTGGCAGGCAGTGAGCCCTGTTGCCGGCGTGGGATTGGCCCCGGAGTTCACAGGGATCACGCCCGCTGCCATCGGATCAACCCAAGGGCCCCTTCTCGTCCCTGTCACGGTATAATGATCCTACACCCTCTCTTTCGCATTCTCTTCAAAAACCAAGCGATCACGCCTGCTGCTATTTAATTGACTCAAGGTCCCCTTCTGATACCTCTCACGGTATGGCAGTTTTACATTCCCGTTTGGTTCCTCCCCCTGCCTCCCAGTTACTGATATCTCCCGTGTCCGTCCTTCCATCCTCCCTCCCTCCACCACGCCCCTCACTCTCTCAGCTCAAGGCACAGAAACCAGCGTGGCAAACCGGTTCTTCCTTTACTCTCAAAAAGAAAAGCATCTCATCCCAAGCCGCTGCTGCTGATGCTGCGCCTGCAGCATCTCCTGCCACGTCAGCAGGGGTGGCGCTACCGGCTCCCGCCACGTGGCGCGTTGCTACTGGTGGAGCGGGCGAGGAGGAGGAGGAGCTGGTGGACGAGGACTCGCTGCTGACGGCAGAGGATCTGGTGGCTCCTGCGCCTCCTCCTGCCAGTGCTGCTGCTGGTGTGTCATTTAGAAGTTGCGAGTTTACTCACTGCAGCAGTAGTAGCGCTGCTGCTGCTCAATGGCTCCTCTCTTGCAGCACTCGCTGCTGACAGCAGAGGACCTGGTGGCGCCTGCGCCTCCCCCTGCCAGTGCTGCTGCAGGTGTGTCACTCAGCAGTTATTGCTGCGTGCATCTAGCCCTGCGGCACATTACAGCTTCTGGTGAGCTGGTGGACGAGGACTCGCTGCTCACAGCAGAGGACCTGGTGGCTCCTGTGCCCCCTCCTGCCAGTGCGGCTGCAGGTGTGTTTTGAATGCAGACATATTGCAGGGTTTGCTTTAATCTAGCAGCACTCGCTGCTGACAGCAGAGGACCTGGTGGCTCCCGTGCCTCCCCCTGCCAGTGCGGCTGCAGGTGTGTCACTCAGCAGTTATTGCTGCTTGCATCTAGCCCTGCGGGACATTAAAGTGGCTGATGAGCTGGTGGACGAGCACTCGCTTCTCATCCCCGCTTCCTCCCTCCTCTCCCTTCTCGAATCCACCTGTGCAGGCTGTGGCACGGCCAAGACGGCCAGGAAGGCGTGCGCAAACTGCACGTGCGGACGGGCTGAAATGGAGGCAGCAGAAGAGGCGGGAGGAGAGGGAGGGCAGGGGAAGAGCAAGCTGACTCTCGATCAGATCGCCAACCCCGAGTCAGCGTGTGGCAGTGTGAGTGGAGCAGTGAAGTGCATTTTGGTCTAGTAGGTGTTGCTGGAGAGGTGATGGGTAGAGGGCGCCCATGGGAAGAGCAAGCTGACTCTTGATCAGATCGCAAACCCTGAGTCAGCGTGTGGCAGTGTGAGTGCGGTGGTGAGGGTGTGTGTGCGGTTGTGAGGGTGTGAGTGCGGTGGTGAGGGTGTGAGTGCGGTGATGAGGATGTGAGTGCGGTGGTGAGGGTGTGAGTGTGGTGGTGAGGATGTGAGTGCGGTGGTGAGTTCTGTGGTGAGGGTGTGAGTGCGGTGGTGAGGGTGTGAGTTGGTGGTGAGGGTGTGAGTGCGGTGGTGAGGGTGTGAGTGCGGTGATGAGGATGTGAGTGCGGTGGTGAGGGTGTGAGTGGTGGTGAGGATGTGAGTGCGGTGGTGAGTGCTGTGGTGAGGGTGTGAGTGCGGTGGTGAGGGTGTGAGTGTGGTGGTGAGGGTGTGAGTGTGGTGGTGAGGGTGTGAGTGCTGTGGTGAGGGTGTGAGTGCGGTGGTGAGGGTGTGAGTTGGTGGTGAGGGTGTGAGTGTGGTGGTGAGGGTGTGAGTGTGGTGGTGAGGGTGTGAGTGTGGTGGTGAGGGTGTGAGTGTGGTGGTGAGGGTGTGAGTGTGGTGGTGAGGGTGTGAGTGTGGTGGTGAGGGTGCTCCAGGTGTAAGAAGCAGGGGGGAAGAGGGAATGCAGGGCAGAGAGGGCAGAGGGAGGCCAGGGGGAAAGCAAGCTGACTCTCGATCAGATCGCCAACCCCGAGTCAGCATGTGGCAGTGTGAGTGCGGTGGTGAGGGTGTGTGTGCGGTTGTGAGGGTACTCGAGGTGTAAGAAGAGGGAATGCAGGGCAGAGGGAGCAGGTGGAACCAGGGGAGGGCAGGGGAAGAGGAAGTTGACCACTCAGGATCCTCTTGCAATGTGATCAGATTGCCAACTCAGGTTCAGCAGCGTGCGGCAGTGTGAGTGCAACACCCACTCCAACCCTCTTTGCAGTGTGGCTTAGGTGCTGCCTTCCGTTGTGCCGGCTGCACCTACCAGAAGCTTCCGCCGTTTGCTGAGCTCAAACGTTTGCTGAGGCTCTAATTGCTCCATGGCAGGCCGTTCACCCTCTCATGCGCATGCCTCCCCTCTCCTCACTCCGTCCCAGCCCGCATCCTCCCTGCAGTGTGGGCTAGGTGTTGCCTTTTGCTCTGCGTGCTGCCATTACTGCAGGCTGCGCCATTTCAGGCGTGCCATAGCAGCATGGCAGGCAAGCAGACCACCGTATCAACGCTTTCCTCTACCCACCCTCCACCCCTCCCCACCCCGCACTGCAGTGTGGGCTAGGAGACGCCTTTCGCTGTGCTGGCTGCCCTTACCGCGGGCTACCCCCCTTCAGGCTTGGAGAGAAGGTGAGTGGGGGAGGGGGTGGTGGGGCTAGGGTGACATGCGATGGGGTAAGGTGCCCTGTTTTGTAGGCTGCTGTTCTGTAGGCTTTGAGAGGAGGTGAGTGGAGGAAGGAGGGAGGGAGGGAGTAGCGAAGTAGGCCTGGTGGATGAGCTAAGGATGTAATTGTTTATCATGTATGTATCTATGACACATGCATCCATCATTATGTATGTAAGATGTATGTATCCTTCGTCTATGTGTCTATCATACAGGCATGTATGCTGTATGTGTTTATCAATCTACATTCTGCTTGTGTGTCCTCAGTTTTCTGCCGGTCCTCCCCCCTGCTCCTTCCCTTGCCATCTGTCTACAGATGTCCTCCGTCATCTGTTCTACCTTCTCTCTTCTGCCGTCCGTGTAGAAGCCTCGGGATTGAATGAACTCGTTTATTCATGTCTCCTCCTGCTTGCTTCCCTTTACTCCCGCCCTTGCTGTTTCCCCAGATCTCCCTGGGCAGGGCTCGACTCTCTGCTGACGTGTACAAGCCTCCAGTGACTTTTGAGACCACTCAAAGCTCATCCTCGTTCCTGCTGCCCCCCTTTCCCCCTCCCCCTTGCCCCGCTTTTTCCCCTACCCTTGCCGTCTAACAGATCTCCCTGGGTAAGGATCTCCTCTCTGCTGATGTGTAGAAGACTCTGGCTCGAATCAAGAATATTGCACAAGATCGTGTGTACAGCGCCAATTCAGCTTGCAGGCCTAACAGTTATGAAGGGAGGAGTTGGTGTGGCAGATGCAGCAGAAGAGGCAGCGGGAGGGGCAGCAGGCGGGGAGGGAGAGGAGCATGGAATGGAGCAGCTGGTTTGCCTTTACAGGACAGGCTGGCATTGCTTTGTTTCGCACAAGTCTCATGGAGTGTTCCAGAGGGTGCACCCTAAACTGTAACCGAACCATCGGTGCACTAGATATGCATTTGTGTCACAACACAGCACTTGTGTTAAACAGCCCACGATACAGATATCACTATTGAGTACCTGGTGATGCTTACTGTGGTCGTTTACTTAGCGCACACTTCATATTCTACACTACTCACCACAAATTGTACCCAATTTACAAGTATTCAGTACTCTACTATCATACACTACCCCTTCTCCTCCTCCTTCCCCTTCTCCTTCTCCTTCTCCTTCTCATTCTCCTTCCCCTTCTCCTCCTCCTTCCCCTTCTCCTTCTCCTTCTCCTTCTCCTTCTCATTCTCCTTCCCCTTCTCCTTGCGACAACTTTCTGCCTGCTGATACGGTTTGAAAACTCGTCCAACCCAAATCGCGTCTCTGAAATCAAACTCGCACCGCACGCCCTGCACTGCATGTCACGTCACGTCATGTCAAATCCAGTTCACTGTTGGAAACAAATAATCTTAAGCGCCTCTGTCGTGTCGAAACACCAAGGCACAAGCGAAGCAGAGCATATCGAGGCACCAGCGAGCAGGGCCTCAGATATCAGGATAAAAGATCCTGAATGCCCTGATTTCAGGATCTGCATGGTGCCCCAGGACTGACATTTCAGTATTTGTATAAAAACCGGCCTGACAAATCAGTATTTATAGGATTTTGCATCCTGTGATCTCAGGATTTAAAAGTACCCCGGACCCTGATCCATCAGGATCCTATTGGAAAGTACCCTGAATCAGCCTGTACCGCGAAAAAAAATCTGGCGACTAGATACAAAACTACCGACAGGGGTACAGCGCAACATTCGAGATGTGCGGTGGGAAATGATGAAATTTGCACCGCTGTACAGACTTTTTCGCGCGTGGCTGTACAGCGACACATCAAAGTTGCCATCTCGACCAATCAGGACCCGCCGCAGCAAAGAACCCACGCGGCACGCGGCAGCTTTGCCACGCGTAGCTTAAACTTAACCATGCGCTACCTCCCTGGCCATCAAAGGCGGGTACATGCTCTCGGCCAACCTCGTCCACACCTCAGGTCACGACGGGGCGCCATGGCGCATGACCGTGGAACTCTCCAGAAGGAGGGTTTCCGTTCCATCTCCTCCTCTTCTCGACAGCAGTTCCTCCACCTCCTGCTTCATCCCTTTGTTGATGCAGGGCGAAACGTGATAGAATCATTCTTGTTAGTGTTTTTTCGCCCGCATTTTGCAACCTCCTCGACATCGTATCTCACACGTTGTTTCCGAAGCTGAAATCGCCTATGGCTTCACCGTCGCCACAGGGCGTCGGTGAAGCCCCCGTCATGCCTGACAAACCCGTAATTATTCAGCCCTTAACGGGCCTCGATTTCCTTCGTTTTGCGCCAGTCGTTCCCTCGCCAATAGTACCCTCGACAGCCCTTCCAACGCCAGCGGAACCGTCGCCATCAGTACCATCGCCATCAGAACCTCTGCCAGCGGCTCCTTTGCCACCAATACCTCCGCCATCGGCTCCGTCGCCAGCAGACCCTTCGCCTGCAGTTCCGTCAGGTCCAGTCACTGAGGTTGTCGTCGACAACTCGGACCTCCCACCGCCGATTCGAACACGGGCCGAATGCTCGCGTGCAGCCGTGCAAGGGTCTGTCCGTGTGGGACCCCCTTCCAAGAAGCTTGCAAATCCACGCTTCCACCAGACCAAGATCTCCTTCGAGCGCACATCCATGGCACCACCCAGGCAAGATCAAACCCAACCCACCGAGGCTACACGGACCGTTCTCTTATCAACCAGCCCCTCTGCTTCAGCCGACACAGTGATGCCCGACATCGCTGAGAATCTTTACCAGGAAGCGCTTTTCAATTTCAAGAAGTCCTGGACTACTGATTTTCCTTGGCTTGTAATTTGCCAGACGTCTTACGGGTTTCCTTCTATGAAGTGTACCATCTGTATGGAGTATGGTGGCGCAGGGACGAATTTCGCGAGGGGTGAAGGGGCTACAGACGTGCAGACACAAGCCATGCGGCTTCACCAGCGGTCCGGGAAGCACAAGGATGCGCTTCACAATCAGGAGTTAGCTCTGGCGAAGGTCAAGAGCCAACAGCGAATCGAGGATCTCCCTCAAGCACGGGATCTAGAGCACGAGCAAGTGCGGGCTCTGTTGGATACGCTCTTCTTCATCGCCAAGACTGATGCACCAATCGAGATGTGGGTGCAGCTTGTTCGGCATCTGGCTAGCCGTGGCACTCCGGGCTTCCCCAAAAGTGGCTACGGCTCGTACTATACCACGTAAGAGTGGGTTTTACTGCTCTTATTTTTGGTGATTCTTGTGTTGTGTTTCCGTATAACCTCAACCTTGTGTTGTCCTTCCTTGCAGGTACGGATTCCAGGAGCTTGTCGTAGCATCGGCGACCTACCTCCACGGCCAACAGCGCGAGTACATCGACGCAAGCCCGTTTATCGGGTTGAGCTGCGATGAGAGCACCGATCGCGTGCACGGGAAACACATGATTGTGTTTGTGACTTTTTTGCGAGATGGCTTGGTTGACACGGAGTTTCTAACTCTACTTACTGTTGACAAGGGTGATGCAGGGTCCCTCTTTGGTGTCCTCACCGCGTACTTGGAGAGCGTCAACATCGAGCTGAGCAAGATCGCGGGAATCAGCACCGATGGCGCCATGGTGATGATCGGCGGGAGTACTGGTCTTGCCGCGCGGCTTCGCCTAACCGTTCCCCATCTCGTGTCAACTCACTGCATCGCACATCGGTATATCGTTTACCTCTGAATGTTGTTATTGCATATTATATTTTGCATTCGCTAATTCCTGCGTGACATGCCCGCCCCTTTGGCAGGGAAGCTCTCGCTGCCAAAGACTCTGCGATCGCCCTGCCTGAACTCGGCCTCGTCGACTCCGTCATTCGTGCAGTTGCCGAACATCTCGGACGCTCCAGCAACTCTCACAAGACTTTCTTTGACCTGCAGAAGGTCTTCACGCAGACGAACCTCGAGGTTCAGGGCATCCATGCCGTGCGGTGGTTGAGCCGCGGTGACGCCATCGCCCGTTTCGTGAAGGTTTTCCCGGCGGTGGTGGTCCTACTTGAGCGGCTGGACCCCACGATGTACTTGGTGGTGACATCTCTGAAGTTCCATGTCTTCGTCTATTTCCTTGCAGACATTCACGTCGAGCTGAACATGCTCAACCTAATGTTCCAGAAGCGCGAGGTAATATGCTGTCAGCGAATACGCGTGTATGCCTGTGCTTCTCTGTGCTTATTCTCCTCTCTGTTGTGCTATCCCTACCCTAACCCCCCCCCCCCCCCCCCCTCCCCACCACCAACCTGCAGGTGGACTTCATCGCTGTGCAATCCCAGGTGCGGCGTATCCTCGTGTTCCTCTAGGAGCGTTACATCGATTGCGGTCAGCAATTCGGGGGCAGTGCAAGCGCAATGCTGTCGCCGTTTCTCGCGCGGCACAGCTCGCCGTGCAGCCGAGACGTGCGTGTGCAAGGCGTGGACGGTGATCGTCAGCCATGCACTCACGAGTTCACTCTGCACGAGACAGCTGTAAAGGGCTACACCACCAGCGCGGGAGACCTCCAGTCGTGTGTGCGGACATGTCGGTCGTTCGCGACGGAGCTAATATACAATATTAACTTCCGCCTCAGCAGTCTGTCAACCCTTAACTCTGCTAAGCTCTTCATGCCACGCACCTGGCCGCGGGGGAGAGAGGCGAGAGACGCGGAGTGCCTTGAGCATCTGGACGGCCTCTACACCATGTTCCACGCGCGCGAGCGAGAGGAAGTTCTACCAGGTGAGTAAACCTCCCCCTCGTATTCGTCTTTGTGATTTGCTCCGGTATACGATTTTGTTGTATGTGTCAGTAAGCGTGATATGGCCCCTTGAGTTGCACTACGGTCCCTTGCTATCCATCACCCGTCCCTTCTGCCAGGTGTGACGAAGCGGGAGTGCAAAAGGGAGATGCGGACCTTCTTGTCGGTTCTATCCGGGGCGCCGAAGGAGGAGCAGGCCTTCCATGCGGGCCTGAAGGCGATGATGGCCACTGCAGACTGGCCGAGGAGCTACCCCAACCTGGTGCGGCTATGGGTAGCAGTGGCGGTGTTGCCGATTAGCACTGTGGAGTGCGAACGCGGCTTCTCCCGACAAAACATCATCAAGAGTTGGCAGCGGACGGGATCACACGACGCGAAGCTTGGTGATCTCATGACGCTGAGCTTGCTGGAGTACGACGTCGAGTGGAAAGACCTTGTGGAGCTGTGGCGCAGCACGAAGAAGCGCCGCCCAACCAAGCGTAAGAGCAACCCCCCTCATGCCGTGAAGAAGCGTGGTGGTGGTGGTGCAGCTGATGGTGGCAAAGGCAACAGCAGTGACAGGCAGCAGGAGAAGGCCGACCATGGCGATGGCGGCCATGACTCAGATGATGATGTTGCAGGAGGATCTAGTGATGGTGATGATGTGCTGATGGAGGATGCTAGATGGATTTGAATAATGATTGTATTGTCAGAACGTGGAATGAAAACGTTTCACATACATAACAGTGTTGGTAAAGTAGTTTTTTACCCCCCTGACAAATCAGGATTACACTAGTTTTTACCCTGACAGGGCAGGATTACATTAGTATTTACCCTGTCAAAACAGGATCCTGAATGCACCTCAGCACTGATCAATCAGGGCGATTTTTTTTTTTGGGGGGAACTGCTCTGATGGGTC